TTTTTGAATACGTTTTGATTTAAATAGTTTGAGTGAAGAAAACGGTAGTAATCGAAGCTATTTATATATATATCGAGTATTGTGTGCACTGCACAGACTCAAACACTTGGGGGGCACACATACAAAAATAAAACAACAGCACTGACCATCAACGCTTTCGACATTCAAAATCTCCCATTTCACTGTATGGTATGGTCAAGCAGTTTTACTTTCGTCTGTGTCCACTACACAACGATCGAAACATATGAGAAAGCCTCACGATACACCACACCGATGAAATTGACGATAGAATGCGAAAGGAGTTCATGGTGTGCTGACCACCACCATAAGAAAGTAAAATGCATAAAAAAACACACACTTACACATACAACCGAGGGAAAGAAACGCCGGTTAAAGTAATAAATCTGTATCAAAACGAACACGTATTATTATTAACATTTGACCCAGCAATCAAATTTACTAAGTATAACTTCTTGTTAATAATATCAATATTATTAATAATAGTGTACATAAATTTTGATTTTCGTATAAAATCGACAAAAGAATAAGAGAGTCTTAGGTGAAATGGTTTCATTTCAATTATAAAAGCATATATTTTGCATACATTTGCAATTTTATGCACATATCTGTTAAATCCATTTGCAATAATGTTTGCAAGAAGAAGAAAAAGACACAAAACAGAGACAGAGAGAAGAGAATTACGAACATTTCTTTGGGTTCCTGTGCCATCAATCTGTGATCGGTGAAGAAAAAAAAATGAAGCCAGCGAAAAATGGGCTGCAAAAGAATGACGAAACGATTATTTTAAGCGGAGCCAGCGATAAAGACGTTTACATTACAAGAACCATAAAACAACCCCCATTGCGCGTCTTATTTTTCTCTTCCTCTCTCTCTCTCTCCATTATTACATAGACGATTATTTAAACATTTGAGTTGGACGGTAATAAATTCAAATATGTAGATATCCAGAGCATGTGCTATGCATGTTTCTATAACAACTGAACTGGCCAAAACAATTTGTATTGGTGGCTGTGCCGAGTTAGCCGCGACACATTGAGCTCTTCCACATTATCCACGGATATATGAACCGTTGTATGTGTGCAATGCTTTTTTTTCTTATCACCACTATGGCATTATGATGGCAAAGTCCGTTCTTTCACCACACAAAAACCATCTAGCCTAATTTCTTTTTAACAAAAATCATTGCATTGCAATAAAACGCCGGACAAAAACCGGAAGTGTTCATATATAAGTCTTTAACCCCAACAGGACAACTATATTAACTGTGGACACTGTCATTTATTATATTCTCTGGAACACTGAAGGAATGAAGAAACCAAGTAGTACATACAAGACAGAAGCAGCAATTGCTAACACCAACAAAAAGAAGACGAACAAATACGCACACATAAATAAATTGAAATGAAACTTTGTTGCAAGCGATAGCACATCAATAACATTTGTCCGACTCACCTCTTTAATAAATTATTATAAAAACGTATTACGATAAAATACAATTCGTTTGATCTCTTCATAACCCTTTAACAGAATTTCCATGCCACATTTTCCATTTCATTTTCTGTCACATGACTATGATTTTCTTTACATATTGTCGTTGCAAACATAACACACTCTCACATTTTTTTTTTCTCTTCTGTTTCTTCCATGAAATGAACATGACGAATTGTTGCGTTCAGTCATAAAATCGTGCAGAATGGGGCAACTATCCAGCTGTGTCATTTAATTTGTTCTGATTCATTGGAACAAATACAAACTGTATTGAAAACATGTTTCGTGCCCAACTCGGTTACCGATTTTATAGAATCAACATTTCATGACGAAAAAATAAATAGTGTACAATTATTATGAATAATTTGCGAGTGATTTAGTATTCAAATGTAACTGCATGCGGATCAGTCTATGTCTGTAGCAAAATGCATTCTGATTTGTCCATTCAAGGACAGTTAAAGATCGTTCAATATGAAGACGATAAAAACCGGAGGTTTTCACTTTTAATAACAATGATTTCAACACATAAACGAATGCTAATCAATTTATATAAAATTTCATCCCCAAGTCAAGCATCAAATGAACCCAAAACTAATGTATAAAAATTATTCAATTTTCACGTTAGCAAATGTTTGATTGTTCATTTATTTTGCGTAAGAAACTTGAAATACGATCAAAAGAGATTAAAAGTCAAATACGTGCATTGACAAGTGAGAAAGTTGAAGAAATAATATGAAATTAATAAAAAAAATGAGTGTAACATAACATAACATTAGTGCCAGTGTTGCACATCATCTAACAAAAGAAAACAGCAGAAACGTCGAACCGGTAATTTATTTTCAATGTTCCAATAAATTCAGGCAACGTCCAAAAAACACCAAACGAAAAAAAAAACAAAACAAATTTGTCGATGGAACGAAATGTGCGCAAAGAGATGAGTTGAAGATTTTTGTATTTATTTAAGCGACACGATGCAAAGGTAGAGAAAAGAGAGATTAGTGCTGAGAAATAACAAAGAATGACCGAGTAAAAAAAATATATAATTTTGTATTTCATTGTTTAATCATTCATTTCTTCTTGTTTGCTTCAGTCATGCATGCTTCAGTACAAGTTCTAAACTCTCAAAATAAAACAGACGAGTATCGAGCATTATGTTTGGTTTTTATTTGTCTCAGGTTTCTTTTCGTTCTCATTTTTAAAATCAATTAGAAAAAAAAACACAAAAACGAAGTCAAAAAGAAAATAAAAAATTCGGCGCGGTGCCAAGGGTTTTTCTCTTTTGTTTTTTTTTTTCGGTTAACTCCCAACTCTTTCAGTTTTCAATCAACTGATTTCGATTTCATCTCAAAATAACAATGCAAACGAAAAGAAAAACGTAACATAACACACAACAATTGATAAAAGTATACAATCTCTAGACGCCCCGGTCAACTCATTCAGACCGAGATATTAACACATGCACCCGTGTGCACACAATGTAAAAAATCCATTCACACAGGTAAGTAACGCAAAGACCATATAATCATAGTGATTTAAATGATGATCGATCACGTGTATAATTAATAAGACTTGTGAGTAAATTTATAATAATTATTCATTTTCCTTTTTTTACCTATGTGTTTTTTTTCTCTTACTCTCTTTCTCTCCCTTTCATATGCAGTAAGTATAAAATGCATCTGAACCAGAACCAATTTTAACAAGAGTATAAAGAAATTAAAGGCTGTAACGTGTTTCCTTTGATCACATTAATTGCAATTTTTTCATTTTCTTCCCTTCGATGACTTTGGAGAATGCAAACCTTCTATTTAATTCGTGGATTTTAATAACGCATCCATGCCGAAAAACCCAATTTATTTGGGATTTTTTCTCTACATATTTTATATTGCCAGTGGTCCATGCACAGTGGTGATGCACAAATAATATGTTAGTGGAAAAAAATCGTGAAATAATGGATTACATACACTTCGAAGAGATTTCGCATAATTTGTTGTACAACTATTGGCTTGATTCTCTGATTTTAATAATCGCCGTGTAAATGAGTGATTGCATTGGATTTTTAAATGTATGCACACGAACAATTGTTTTTCTTTGAACAGTGATACAAACAGAGTGTAAATTATACCTTCCCCTCTATAAGCTCATTACTTGAATATTTCTCAAATATTCAAAAGTGGCGAAAATTGATTATTGATTATGTAAATCGGTTAACGATTAAATCATAAACTTGAATTTGAAATGTAAAAACACTTCTTAATAATGATAATCGATTATGATAAATTTTCAGTCGAATGTCACTTTCATATCCGATTTATGAATTGTGATGAAACGATTTATTCAAAAAAAAAAAAAATGAAGTCAACGAATGTAAAATTAATAAAAGAAACATTGCTGGATATCAATCCATATAGAAAATTATAAAATGAAACAAAAATGCCTTAATTTGAGAAAATCTTCGCATTTTTCAATCCAAAAATTGAAAAAATAAATAAATACATTATACATATCTTGTCAGTCGTCTACGGCTGTGTCTTTCACTTTATCTCTTTTCATTCAATGAGTTTCCAATATTATCGAAAATAAAATATCTACGTTGTTTTAGTTTTGTAATTTTGTTGTTTATTTTGTATTGCTTTCGTATTCAATGTAATTATAATAAATGTAATGAATTGCGTCAAAGAGTGTGCGTTTGTTACGAACACACAATGCTTAAATAATTGCCAATCATATCATTCAAGCAGCATGTTGCAGACAATTGCCAAATGAATTATTGCAAGGAGTCACACAGAAAATCTCTTGAAAAGAGAGAATGAGAGAGAGAGAGAGATTCACGGTTCTTGTGTACTTTTGCTTACATACATCGTGAATATATACATAAAATAGAGAAGATCGCAGATGTACGATTTTATATTTTTTCTTGGCGGTATGATTTTTTTTGCTCATTTTCAACTGTTGCCAGTATGTACGAATGCGTTAAAGAATTTTATTGCATGGCAAAACATGTATCATTATACACAAATTGTATAAAAGTAATCACTTTTGTATCATAAAAATGTCTAAGGGCGCCATCGCCAACTCGAAATCTCATTTATTTTCTTATTCTTTTTACAGGATTAACAATTAAAGCATATTATGTCGAAATAATACAGTCAATGTCAACCGCATGAATCAATTTGTGCATTAAAAAAAATACATCATCAGGGGGTTTATTTTGAAAAATGGTCTTTTTTTAGTATGGACTGTAAATTTCACGATTAACTAGTTTATGCATATAGTGTACATATTTTCAGTACACGTCTTCCCATTTATTCAACGATCATTGCATTTCCTTTTCTCTTCAAATTAATTATATAAAATGCGTCAAACCAACCAATTTTTAATGACAACTAATTTGTTTCTACATTTCTTTTTTCCGTTTCGTTTGAAAAATTTCATGTTTCGTTGATAAATTACATTAAAATAAATTTGTTAAGAATATTGTTCATTGGACTCACCTCGATAAGAGAAACTCGTTGATATTGTGTTTTCGTTGTCGTTTCCTTTCGTTATCAATTCAAATCTAAATTTCAACAACTGTTTACACCGTTTAAAAATCCATTTGAATGTCTCAAATTTCAACAAATCATAAAGAATCAACCGTTTTTTTTCCGTTGGCTCCTTCGGTTTTTTTCTCTTTCTTTCAATTTTTCATTGGCATGTGAATTCAAGAAAATGCATCAACACTAACGATTTACGTTTAAATGTTCTCATTCGCTCACTGCATTTGTACTGTTGTCCAATTGATTGTTATCTACGAAATTTAATCTAATTATAATCAAATTGTTTTTGAAACGCATATACACGCAGCAGTTCGTATTCAAAAACAAATCAAGCTGTGTTTATAGTCTATTTAGTGGGCACGACATTACTAAAGATACAGAATGAAAACATGTTCACATGCGGTTCAACAGCCGATGCAAGGATCGATTCAATTACCATAATATGCTTAAAACCAATGCACTATTTTTGTTGTCTTCTTTCTTGCTTAAACAACCGCGTTGGCCAACTGATAAAGTGTTGCAACTATGTATCACGTTTTCAATTTGTCGACGACGACCACGATGAAAAAATAGTACCAATTTTTCAAATTGTAATTTTTTACCACAAACTTTACAATGTTTTTGTTTTGTAAATCGGTGCTAATTGATTTTGTTAAACCAAAAAAAAAATTGTCTGAACACCGAAAATCGTGAAAAAAAATTAAAACGTTAAATTCAAATATGCAACCGAAATCAAACTAGACAACTGCATACTTATTTACTGAAAAACTCATGCAATTGAAAGCAATCGTTCTATTTTCTCATATATTTTTATGCTCGAAAGAAAAAAAAACGTTTAAGTTAACTCAAATCACTGTCTTGCTCCCGGTATGTATGTCTATCTATACGAGTCAGTTGCATTTTTCAAAGTGCTTAAATCACGAGCAACACGTTCGTACCGTAGGCCGACTAAGAAATGATTGTTTGATGAAACGAATGAAATGGTAATGGAAACACCATCGCGAACGCGCCGTCCGGTAACTGAGTGTTGTTGAAGTGAATTGGATAACACAGCGTGTTCTTTGCTCTCTGTTTCACCCAACTTCAATGTGTGTACGATTCATTTTTTTCTGTTGGAGGTAGAGAAAGAGAGAGGGAAAGAGTGAGCCGCGATGAACACTCGTCTGCATGTACGAATGGTGTACATGTACGCGATCCAAGTCTCGCGTTAGCCGTACATTGCACGCGTTTTCTGTTCTTTTTACTTCTTCAACTTCTTCTTCTTCATTGTTGTTCGCTGTTGTCTTCGCTTTAAGTTTTGGCTCTGTGACTGTGCGACAAACATATGAAGAGGCAAAAAAAAACATGCACACACACACACATACACGACAAGAACCACATTAATATTGCACGGAATATTCACTAGTGCATTTGATACAATGCCATTCAGTTTTATCGTCTTTTGTAGCATTTTTTCCGTCTTGATCTCGGATTTCTTGTTCCTTTTTTTCTCAGGGAGTCTATTTGTTTTTGCATGCATTTTTTTGTTCTCTGATTTTTTTCGTTTTTTGTATATTTCAACTATCTTGTTGGGCTTTATTTTAGCTTTTTCGTTTTTTCCCCTTTTTTGTGCAGTTTCTGTCTTTAGTTGCAGTGGTGATGAAGGCAATACTTTTTTGTTAGTTCCTTTTTTCTCTCTCTTTCCTTTTTTTTTTATTTTGGAGCCGTATTTATTGTTCGATATGCAGTTAGAATGCCTAAGTCTGCAATTTTGCCGCGCGCTGATAGTTATGCTCTTTTCCATTTTTCTTTCCGCACCTTTGTCTCTCTCAGTGTATCTTTTCGAATCGCGGTGTGTGTTTTTGTACTCACTGCTGATTTTTGTATGGGAAAAATCAAAGAATTTTACTTACCAATATCTTATTAATGTAACAGATTTTTTTTTTCTTTGCAATAAAACCATTCATGAAATTTATGGTTTTTTCGAGAAGCATCATGTAAAATATTAGTTTTCGGTTCGATCTGCGAATGCATAGCTATAAGGCTGTTGTAATGGTCAAGCATAGCGACAATTCCGAATGCCGAAAGACCTTAGCTATTATTTTTGTTACGATTTCGATTTTATTTCTGCATTGATTTTCGTTTTTTTTTTTTTCACCGTTGAGTAATCTTTTTCTTTCTATACAAATGCCCATAAAATCTTACCTCTGTTCCACAACCGTTTTTTTTTCTTCAGAAAATCCCATTCTCTTTCCATTCTTTTGTGGACTGAAACATAATGGCATAAAATGAATCCCAGCTGTGGTGAGTTCAGAGTGGACACTGTCTTGTTTGTTAATATTTGTTTGGTTAATATAGCTAGGCCGATGAAATATATCGTTTTATATTCACAATCGGCGTCTAAACTTACTATTTTCCATATACTTTGACACCAGGCGCATGCACAAATTGTTGAAATATTCGTTTCCATATCTCAAATGATAGTATCGGATTTCAATGAACGAAAACAGAAAAATTCAACAATATCAGTTCAATCACAATGACTATAAAAAAATGATGTGTCACAACGTGATCACTGCGGTCAATTCTCCTCCGGCAAAAGTCAAGGTTTGAAATTTCGCGCTTAAAAATTATCAATAATAATAACAAAAACATCATCACAATGGTGCTGCATTTTCGATGTAACCATTTTACATGTCGCCTCCTCAGACGGTTACATTTCACGATGTTAAATCATTTTGAAGTTAATAATGAGATTCATAGTGCCCATGTGGAATCCCAATACAATACGGGTACTTTTTTTTTAGATTAATGATGAAGGATATTGTATGTATCGTTTTATGGCCTTTGAAGTCGTAATAGATGCTGTGAATATTATCTTCGGACTTTTTTTTTCTCTCCGCTTCTCTAGTAAACCCCGTGGAATTAATTTTATACGTGGTTTTGTCGTGAGACATTTTGTTTTCCTGCATTTTTTTTTCGTTGTTGTTGTTGCGTCTGTTAGTTGCTGCTATTTGCAAAGAATCCAAATGATTGCAAGTCTCAACTTGATAGCCATGCAAACATTGCCATTTTTTATTGGTTATGCTAATGTGACTTTTAAAAAAATTGTACTCACTCGTTATGGACAAGTTTAGTGCGACATGTAACGCTTTTTTTTGTATTTATTCAGTGTGTTTTGTGCACAATGAATTCTTTTATGTTTCGTCTGCTGTGTGTGAGTCAATCCATAAACCGATAAATGCGATTGCGAGTATGCGAATATGCGAACACACATCAAACGATATATAAGACGCAATGTTGTACGCATATAGCTACAAAAGGCGAACAACCCACGCACAAACCAAACAGAATATGCTTTTTTGTTCTTCTTCTTCTTCCTTCATTTTGTTTTCATTCCATCGCGCACAAAATCGAGTTTTCACTCAAGAGAATAAATTGTTTAACGTCTTTACAGCACAATATGTTGTTTATTCTCTCGATGTATAAAGTGTGTAAAAGGCCATATACGTTTAAATGAAAACAATAACATACGAAAATGGCCAAAGATTTCAGTAAATTAATTTGATGTGGAAAAAAGACAAGCATACATTTGTCAATGGTGCTAAATGAAATTATGCGTTGATGAATAACAATATGTATTTGCGTATGTTTGTTTATTTTTTTCTCAGATTGGGTTAGCCTATGTTAATACATTTTATCAAAAGTATCTAATTCTTAAATAAAAGATCCGATCCATCCAGATCCGATGATATTCCGATGATATTTATTATTTTTTATAAATGCTCATCTCCTGATCGAGGCTTGATTTTGTGTTCACCATATATTGATCGAGTTCAGCGTCCAATTGCTCTTTGCTTTTTGGTGGTTCACGTTTTCCTGTAATACAATCATTATTTTCATTGTTAAAATACAATTCAAAATAATAAGCAGCAATAACGTTTAAAACACAAACCGATTTTCTTTTGAGGTCGACCACGAATTTGATTTCCCCGTTGACGACTTTGGCCACGTTGCCGCTGTTGATTGCCTCCCTTACGATTGCCGGGTTGGCCGCCATTTCGTACTCTAAACCAGAATGAATCAAACATAAGTTAGTAATAATGTGTGGAAAATGGTAATTCCATTTAGTTTCTATGCAGTATCGATATTTTTTTACCAAATCTCGCAAAAAAAAGTACATTTAGCTTTGTGGAAATTTTATGAAAAATTATGTTAAAAAAATGAATATCTGATGATGAAAAACCTTGATCGCAATCGACCGCGTTGTTGTTGTGGTTGCTGTTGTCGTTGCTGTGCACCATTTCCATTGCGTGCATTTGTAATTGGTCGTTTTACGATTCGTCCGCGTTGAACCTTCCTGATTCCTTGTCTATTTGGTTGGCGTTGTTGTCGTTGTTGTCGTTGTACTTGTTTCGGTCCAACAGCATTTTGACGTCGTACGCCAAGCCGTGCATTTACTGATATTGTATTACGGCGTACATTTGACCGTGATTGACTGCGTGAACGTTGCTGACGTCGTTGATTGGTCAATCCTTGTTGAGCTTGGCCCTGACCGCGAAGATTCAAGCGACTATTGGAGCGTTTTAAACGAATTGGTGCTCCTTGTTGTTGACGTTGACGCGATGCTGAACGTCCACGTAAATTTTGCTTTGAATTCGTACGTATTAAATTTGCACGATTTCGGCTGGCCGATCGACCTCTTGGTCTTGATGCAGCCCGTTCGCCAATTGGGTTATTTCGACGCAATCTTGGTCGGCCACGGACGCCAAGCTGTTCACTCAGATTCAATGTTGAATTGGACCGTGTCAAACGACGTACACGCTTCACATTCTTTATGAGATCCGCTTTGATGCTGTTGTTTATGTGGAAAAATTGAAGACCAGAGATTATTTTTTTTTTTCATTAGATTATTGTTTGATTCAATCGCAATAACACTTAAAACAATTTTCACTCTCGAGCCAACTAGGTGAGTCGAAGCTAAACGGAACGCATTGATGGTGTTTGGTTTGATTATTTTTAGTTCAAATTTTCGAAAGGGATCATTTTGCTTTTCATTCTACGAGAGCTACTATTTTACTTTACTGTTTGATTCAGACGAAATTGATAGAGTTGCATCGGGTGAGGTACTTTTTTTATATTTGCTCGCTTTTATATTTAGTCCCGGTTTGAATATGACATTTAACTGATGAGCGACGAATCAACATTCTGCCCGTAATTACTGTCAAATTTCATCGGTTGGATATGGCGAAAATAAAAGTGATCCCGAACGGTTTTTGTTCTGTATGCTCTTTGGCTCAATTCATTTGGCTCTGAATGGTTTTTATGCTTTGTTTTCGATGGCATTTGTTTTTTTTTATTGTTTTGGTGTTAATTTTTACGTTTTTTTGGTTAAATTAAATTTGTCTAATTCATCGAATTTGCATGTCTTCATCAAATGTATCAAATTATGAGTGGTTTTGTGTGTTTTCTTACGTTGCAATCTGTTTTGCCATACTGTTCGAGCGTGGCAAGCGTCTGCGTGCATTTCGTGTTGTATTCATAAGTAGAGCTGATGGCCGAATCAATTGTCGACGTCCTCGTACACCGATCGCATTTTGTGGTCTTATTTTCATGCTCTTCTGCAAACACAATAGTAAAGAAAAGAAAGAGGTTTTTTGTTATGGTTATTCACGTTATATCGTTCCATCCGAAAATCAATCGTGCTACGATTATTCTTATATCTGGCACACACGGATAACACAAAACACAAATGCATGTTCGAAATGATATTGCAATGTGTACTTTATTTTGATGATGATGGTAGTGTTGTTGTTGTTGTCGTGTATGGGTGCGCATTTATCTGGCCATATTTTTAAAAATATGTATGCGCTGACTGATATTCGGTCATTGGCAGATTTAAATCAACAGTTTGTTTGTAGACAAATTTAAATCAACAGCAATCACTGTTTTCGCTTTCGCTTCGGAATTTGTCTGGCGACTTTGTCGTGAAGCACATCAATATCGCAATCGACACAGACAAGTCACACAACACACCATAAAATAAATAATGTCTTTGTTTGGCTTGACTAGTCATCATGACATCGTTGACGATAAAATTTACGTTTTTACGTTTTAATTATTTTTGGTTTATTTTTTGTTTATTTTCCATTTTACGTACTCGTTTCAATTTGAGTGCCACACGTAGCTTGTGCTTTTGATCCAATTGTTGAAGTAAACTTCGGTTGCGTATCGAAACTCGTGGTGATATTGGTACATCGGCCATTTGTGGTACATAACGTGAACGTGATCGGGAGCGACTTCTTGCTCTTGGTCGAGGTGGCATTGGTCGAGATGGACCACCTCCGCCGCCACCCTGTTTCTGCATTATTGTGAAACGATCATTCAAAGACAAAACGGTCGATCCATTCAAGTGAACTTTGCCAATCGATGACATTTTCAATCACTTTTTCTTCTGACTTTTGTTTTATTCACTTTAGTTCGACTTAAAACAATTGTTCATTCAAAACAACTTTTACAACTTTTGTACTATGTCCAATGACGCACTGCAATACTGACTCTTCTTCTTCTTATTATTATTTTTTCTCTCTTTCTTTCTCAAATTGATTTATTCTACAATGACAAAAGGGGCAAAGATAAGATAAAAAAAAATTATTAATTTTTTATCGTATTTCAGTTGAAAATGCAATTTTTATTTTTGTAAAATGGCCTCAAACATTTACTTTTCATCTACAATGAATGCATAAGTTAAAAAAAAATGAACAAAGCTAGATTCTTTTAACTTATTTCCATATATGGAATGAATTGTATTTGACTAAAATGCTACTACTTACCAGAAACCCTTTTCACTTCTTATTTATTTCAAATAGTTTTCTTCTTCAAATGGTCGTCTTTTGTGCTAATTAAACTTTGTTGGCAATTTTTTTACCAGAAAAACTTCGGAAGAATTATGATCAACGTGCCGAATGCAGAGAAATTACTTGAATGAGCAATAATAATGGCGAAATATATTATAAAAGTAATTTAGTTGAGGAATTTCACACCAGGCGACGACTCATTTCTATTTATGATGTTGTCAACGAGACTAGCGTTCATATTGCAAACTAAACTGCTAATGAGCATTTTAAAATACAAATTTCAACATTTATATTTTCGGTGAATATTTATATATGCTTAAAATCGCACATTTTTCAACTGAAAAATTGGTTTCTTCTAAGGAAACTTTTTGTGTATTGAGAATTGGCTCCAACTAAAAAATGCAATCAAATTGAAATCACATATTAAGAAATGCAAAAAATTTGTTTTGAAAAGATATATTTTGTCTTATTTGGGTCTGCGGCTCTCATTTCTATGTGTTGAACTAGTTTTTTTTTTAATTATTTTTGAAAATAACTAAAATTAAAACACACTCAAATCATTATTTAATGTATTTGTCAACGAAGTTATTGAATTTCGTATTTATTGTATCTATTACAACAGTACACATACTCACTTTTCATTCGAAGCTCTTTTCACGACGTTCAGTGACTTATCGTTTATGTCTTGTCTCGAATTTGTTATTGCTAAATTTATTTGCTTTCATTCGATATGATTGATTTTGTTTCGATTATTTTATATAAAAATTTTGACTATTTTTTAAAAAAGTATCTTAGACTAGAAATTAGTTACGTACTTTATAAATTCATTATTACATCGTGGATGCAGACTTAAACAAAATGCATTCTGCCATCCAGGCAATAAAATCTGTATAGTATCTATTAGCAACTTGGCGAGTTATTGAGATTTAAAGTGGTCACTTTTATTCTTCTCACTCTTAAACCCATTCTCTCTCTCTCCCTCTCTCTCTCTCTTTCGTAAATTTTCCGCGCTTCTTGAACAATGTTTAATTACAAACGGACTTTGAGCGATTCCATGCGTTGAACGATTCTTTGGCGTAAATCAGCGTATCTGAAAGTAAATATGTTGAAAGATGTTGTTTTAATTAAAAAAATGCGCAGGTGATTACTCACTTTTCTTTGATTTTTTGAACCTCCCTCGCCTGTTCCTCGCTGTATCGGTCCAGAATGGAACGGCATTCTTGGATTGACAAATTTATGAATTGAGCAACTTCACAGCTGAAAATAAAAACGATTTTTCTTTTAAATCAATTATTTTAATTTATTAAATCAAAAATCTTTACCTAATTTCAGATGTATTATATGCATCGGTTAAAAATAAACGGGCCACATCTTCATGAGGACCGAGCATGATACGCACTAAAAGTGGATATTCATCATCTTTTAAACGACGTTGCTCGCCATTGTCTCTGATTATGAAAAGAGCAAAATTTTCTGGACGACTATCGACTTTATATTTTTCTAATAGTAAATTGACTGCCTCTTGTGTACTAACAAGCGATGTCACCCAAACGCTCATTTGTGAACCGTGCGGCGGTGTGAAGAAGGACGTTTCACGATTGTAAAAATGACCATTGATTGAACAACGACGCTTCAGTTTGGCACGTGCTCTAATCGAGAAAAAAAAGAAAATCAATAATCATTCAATTTGAAACCAAAAAACCGGCATAAATTAATGATGTTTGTAAGCAAACCTTCGATTTCCTGATCGTCTTTTAATTGCTGTTGAGCCAGTTTTTGGTTTTCGTAAAACGACAACACATTCATTTAAATCGTCGTCCAGATCGTCATCAAGCGGTGAAGTGGGTGTTGTCAATGTGGTAGTTGTTGATGCTTCGCTAGTTGTGCTGCTCACTCCATTTTGAATTTCGTCATAGCAATCCATTTTAATGTTAATGTATCGCTTATGCATTGTCGCTGGTTTTAAAGTGGCCGAACTATCATCGCTGTCGTTATCATTAAGTTGCTTTTGATAATAATGATGATTTCGATACCAATTTGGTCCCGATCGTGAACGATTAATACCATTTTCCGTAGTGGAAGCACTTAGATCAGATGAGGAAGACACAGCTGTTGAGCCCGATTTTTTAAGCGCATAATTTGTACAATTTGATGACGAATCGCTCTTATTATTGTTCAGCGTCTGATAGTGAATGGATGTTGGCATCTCACGAAACGCTGACTCGCCACTAAAACTTTTGCTCATTATATTGTCGCTGTAAAGTTTAAGAGAATCATTGATGCGTGACGGATCGATTGGTTGTTTTGATTTAAGCGTATCGTCATTTACATGCTGTAATTCGCTTGTATTTTGTATGAATTCTGCACGAATTTGTCGCTTGAAATCATCAAAATCGACTGGTTTCAAGGTGTTCATTGGTGTTAAATATTCGTCATCGGTCGATTTATTTGTTAATGTACTATCGTCCGTTGTTGAGTGCATCGTTTCAAATGACTTATAATCAGTTTCGGTTTTCGACAAATCGTCCGATTCACTTTTTGATATTTCGTCTGGTTGTGTTGATGATGATACGCACGCAACATTTGATTGAATCGATGATTGTTTTTCGGGACTTGATTGCGATGATACGGTTGACGGCAGTGTTTGATAAAGTTTTTCATTGCTATCCACGTGACGTTCAACTTGAAGTAATTCATCAAGTTCATCTCGTTCGCCAACTTTACCATCCAATTTTGTGGGCAATGTGAATGAACGATGATCGGGCGACACCTCTTTGGAAGACGGTCCCGATGTCAATGAATTAATATCATCATTAAAACTACATGTATCAAACGAAATACTCTCAGTCATTGAAATATCCATTGTATCACCGCCATCAACTAAACTTGATGTGCTCACATCACCCGATTCGTTAACATCTAGATTCTCTTTCACAGATGAACCATGTACTAGCAACTGTAACAACAACAACAACAACAAAAACGACGATTAAATATACATTGAATACTGAAAAATCAACACTTACACTTTTCTCTGAACTAAAATCCGTTGAATTTGAATAGCGACATGAATTACGTTTTCGAACGGTAACAACTGTGCGTTGATCATCGTCCTCCTTCAAATGGATCATATTTTGAACGCCCCAATAAACACGCAAAGCACCTTCTAAAACCATTCGTCCGTTTACTTCGCGACCGCGTATTTCATGGCTTTTATTGTCAAAATATGTATTGTACTGTTTTAGCTTCGTTTCGATTTGTTCGCGAGGAAATGGCATTTGTCCAATATTGATGATTTTTGGTGTGGATCCTTTTGCACCGAAACTTTTGTGCGATTCAACCCTCGTGCCATGACCAAACAACTGAGGTCCAAATAAAGCACCATAGCAAGGGACATGACAATATGGAATCCCTTTGTGTTCAGCATGTTGACCGGGGTTTAATCTCTTGCCACATTCTTCACATCGTAAACATTCCGGATGCCAATCATATCCGAGCGATTGTTTTCTTTCAGCTTTCATATGAAATCGAAATGAAAAAAGAAAAAAAAAAATAGTATTTTTTTTCCATTATTTTTATATAAAAAATATTGTAAAGTTTATAAAATTGATTGCCACATTGTTTCATTGCAATTTGACATTACAGAGGTCAATGACACATCTGTGCAAGCAAAATAGCAAATTTAATCACAAAATAAAAACTTTCCAGCCGACATCTTCAACAATTTTTATTTTTGTTGATTGAAAATAAATCACATGCTAATTTATAATCTTTATTGGTCACATTGTAATTAGTAAACAATTAAGCGTTTCATACGAAATGGACTACTCACCAAAGTATACTGGTTTCGAACATTTATGGCACTGCCACATTTTCCAATTTGCTTCAATAAATCAGTGCGGCGCTCATAAAAAGCGATTTAATTATTTTTTATTAATTTTATCGTCGAAAAAGCGGGCGTTTATCCGTAAAAAGGGCACATCAATTCAACAATAAGTCTCTGGTTTGCATGGCAAGCACCCAATCTGACAGACTTGATTGCGGATTAGGTTTTTTAACAAAGCAAACAGTGTGATTTAAATATGTAATGCACATACGATGTTTTTATCTAGAGTCGATGATTTGTAAATCGTTTCAACAACAATAACAGCAAAATAGGAATCGAATGACTTCGGGTGACACTATGTGAACGACACACGAATTATACAGCAACGAAGATGAGAGCAGAAAAAAATAATAATAATACAATAAACAATTGTAACTCAAATTGATATGACATTCATGTAATCGAAGCAAAAACCGACAAAACAAAATTCAAGACATGAAATTAAAATGAAAACAAAAACGATAACAAAACTAGAATTTTTTTGGCTTTATATGATTTCTTTCTTCAAATATTCGACCGAAAAAAAAATGCTCAAAATGATGTGGGAGAGAACACGAAAACGAAATTTGTTAATATATTTACACAAAAACTAAAAGAGAGAATATGAATAAAAAATGTGTGATGAATTTGATGTAGTAGTGTGTGCCTATTGAACTAGAGATAAATTGAATATTCACATCTCTCATTTGTTCTCACAGATAAATGTCATATGTGCTTCCAGAGGTCGCCACAAATAAACGCCATCAACATGAATGCCGATTATGCATATGATGAAAAGCATTTTTTACCTTCATTTGTACCGTATTTGAATTGTAGCCCAAATGCTACTTACACACATGGTATTTTCTTTGTCACCTATATATGTATGCTGTCTGCGTATTGATTGGAGGAAATGGGCTTTGGCCAACTTAAATTTGAAATTCGGACATTTTTTATGTTATTTAAATCAAAATGAAAAATTGTTTTATTTTCTTTATTCTTTTACTTTTTCTTATTGTATCTACATCAAATCATCGAAATATTCCACCTAATTTTCTTTTTCAAGTGGTTGAACGAAAAAGAAAAGAAAATAAAATGAAAAAAAGTAGTAAATCGTTATCCGAATAATATAATCAAACGTACACAGGCTTTCTGTTGATTATTTTGTAAGATTTTCTTTTTTTTTTTCATTTAGCATTGATCCCGTTGTGAATATTTTCTTTTTTTACTATTTTTTTTTTTGTTTGTTTGTTAAATCTTTGTCTCGTGTGTGTTTGAGTGATATTTTGCTGATTTTTTCGTAGTTTGTGTATGTGTGTATATGGTGAACGTATTGACGGCAATGGATCAATTGATTTTTTTCTCTCGATATTAATTTCGCATTTTGTTTTTGTTTGTTTGTTGTTTTTTTTCTTCAATTAAATAAAAAATTTCTTTAATCATTACAAAATGAGGGAATCCTTTTTTTATGCTGTTGTTTATCATTTGCATCAATTTAAATATAATTTTTTTTGGGGGGAAAGTGAAGGAAATATTTTATTAATATGCTGTATGCATTCAGCAGCACCCAGATTTGGTGTTTTCAATCGGACGACCTTGATCGATTTTCACTTTGCTAGCCGTTTCGGTTGCACTCGACGGTGGTCCAACACGATTCTTGATTTCGGCCGCCATAGTCATGAATGCTTGTTCAACGTTAGTTGCATTTTTGGCGGATGTCTCAAGGAATGGGATTCCCAACTGATTGGCATATTCCTATATCAATAGAAAATCAAACAACGTTAATTAATTTCTTGGTCGAAAAAATAACAAATTGCTTTTGGTTAGCGAAAAAGATGATTGAAATAGCCCGTATTTTTGGGCAACATTGAATTTAATAGAAGAATGCATACCATTGCCGTTGTATGATCAACCACTTTCTTTGTAGTTAAATCGCATTTGTTTCCAACCAGCAGCTTGTTCACATTTTCGCATGCGTAACGTTCGATTTCTTCCAGCCATTGCTTAACATTACTGAATGATTCTTGGTCTGTACAATCGTACACTACGATAATACCATGGGCTCCACGATAATAAGACGATGTGATCTATAAAGAAAGATAAAATGAATTTATAATTTCGTTTTAAAGATTTATATTGTACTTGTCAAGATCAATTATTGTTATAAAGTTTCACAGTTAATAGTAAAATAAAAATGATAAGATTTGAGATACTTACGGTTCTAAAACGCTCCTGCCCAGCAGTATCCCTTAATAAGGAGACAAATGGTCATTAGTTTTATTTGATGAAAATAAAAATATTGATATTACGTGATGAATTTCAATTCACTTACCATATCTGCAACTTTATCGTTTTGTCATCAAGTTCGATGGTTCTAATTTTCTATAATGCAAACACGAAAATAAAAACAAATGAATGAATCGCACGTAATTTACTTGTTTATACAAGTATGCAAATTGTGCAAATCATGTGAAAATGAAATGACATAAAATTCACGAGAATTATTACTTACAAAGTCAACGCCAATAGTACTGATATAGCTTTCTGTGTATGTATCATCGGCGAATCGCAGCAAGAGACAAGATTTGCCAACACCAGAATCACCAATCAAAAGAAGTTTGAACAAGTAATCACTGAAATGGACCGAAATTATAAAATCAAATTAAATAAGATTTTGATTGTTTGTTTGTTTGTTTATTTCTACGGTTAATGTGTTTTTCGTCAAATATCCTTGTTACTCGAATGCAAATATGACCTTTTGGCTATTTTTCAATGAACAATCATTTATACTGTTTCTTTCGTTCATTTTACATTTTTAAAACATTCACAATCTGAATGTATGCATTTCGATTGATTTTCAATGATATAGTCGCTTGATTTTTTTCTTTTTCATTTCAATTTATGTGATATATACATATGCTATTTAGAAAATCATTGTTTACGGTACATTTGATTTGTCTTGATTAAAACGAACGCAAAAATAAAATATCGCATTAAAATGAAGTCGATTTTGCTTGGATTATAAATATTTGATTTGTTCCATTTTATACGTTGAAAATTTCATGATAAACCGTGGTTCTTTTTTAAACTGGCATATGGATTTAACCGACATATATTGTTGAATGCAGTTAAATTGAAAGGCTTGTTGAACAAAAAAAAAATGAAACGAGAGATACGTAGAATACAAAGGCACAGGGAGTCTTTTGATAAAAGAGCTGAACGGAGTATGGCACGTAGGAACGAGTGTAAACATGATTTTGTTTGCTTTGTTTTAAGCCATTCAGTTGATTTTCTGTTGGTTTGTCGTTTTTGTGCATTTTCTTTGTTTATGCAAGCTGTGTGCACTAAATGAGGTTATTTGATACAATTTTTTTTTTCAAAAATTGCATGCTATCAAACAAACATACACAAAACAGACGCGAATATTTTCGAAATCAAATTAAAATGACCAATCTTCAAATTCATTGTTTTTCTAGGGTCATCATATGGCATTTTTGAAGAAACGTATATAAACAACCAAATACAGAAACTATGTCTCTCTTCCTATCTAGATCTCTGTTTCTCTTTAAATTTCTTTGTTACGACATTTGATCGTCTATTTTGTGTGCTCAACTTTCTTGCCATCGTATTCCATCTGTGTTTGTGTTCTTTGTACAATTTTAAGGGGCGTTTGAGTATTGGTACTGGCGGCGTTGATTTATTTAGAGAGATTTTTTTTTAAATATTATATTGTTGTTCAAATAGAAAAAAAAAATGTTACTAAAAAGAGTACAAAAATTATTCACACATCACGTACATACTGTACACACTCTGGTGTATGATGTTAACAATCATTCTTTTAGAAATAATAAGAACATGAGCAATAGGTAAATGAGTGGCAATGGTATTAGTTTGGCTTTGGGTTTTTCAGGCACGGTTGTTGTTGTGGTTGCTCTTTTTGTTGTTGTTGTTGTTGTTGTGTGATGATTACTCGTTACTGTGGTCTGTGCATGTATTTGTGTTGGTGGTATAAAATACAAAACATAATCATGTACGAAGAAAACCTATAGCAACAGAATGCGACAACTACGTTTACAAAGTAATGGCTATACATATATGCGCAAACAACGTAACCAACACTGGTATGCGTGTGACTCATAATTGTTGGGGGGAGTTGTTTGAGAGTTTCAAATTCATATTATATATTCGAATCTATGTGGAAATGAAACGATATAATCGAATACAACGAACCGTATACATATGACGCGAACACACTACGTATATACTACGTCTCTTTCATTCCAGAGTACAAATGTAATCATTTGAAGCATTGAGTAAAGCGAATAAAAAAAAACAACGAATTAGAAATAAAAAAAAAATATCTGAATGCAAAAACTTTTATCGTTTCATTGTAGAGAAATGAACACCGAACCATAATAGATAAAAAATGTCTTTTTTTGGAATAGTTGAAATGATGACAACTCAAGCCAAACAATGATTACAACAAAAAAAAATATGAATTTACACAAAATGAGGATAAACTTTTTCTAATTAAATATATTATATTTGGGAGGATAGAAAAAAAAACAAATCGCCCAAGTCAACAGACTATTGCGTTTTAATTTATAACAAAATATTTCGCTGACGATGTAAATTTGATGTAGATTTTTGACGATTGATTGACAAAAGACGAAAAATACTAATAATTAATTTAAGATTATTACGCAGTCGTTTAATTTGATATATTATCAGTTTTTCAAACAGAGAAATTTGAATTGAAATTTTTGTTGGTCTGTATTCAACGCAGTATCCATATAATTGACGGGATTTTAAAATTGTATATGCCACAGATGCATTCAACATATGAAAAGAAAAAAATTGCTCGATATTAACTCACAACCGTATGCGTGTAATTAATCTGATTCACAACAACAGCAGAATTGATTTTTCTTTTTTCAGAAATTTCTGCATCGAGTGTTAATTGTTTCCATTTCTTTGTTTATGGAGTTGATGTCACACGACCCATAAAAAAATTACGTTTTCTTTTTCTCTCTTTCTCAAAACTATTGGTTTTAGAACAAAAACATTTGATTCATCATGTATATATTGTAATTTCGATATATTTTTTTTGTTCATCGAGACATGTAAACTTGAAGAAAAAAATGGTATATATCACACATAATCATCATTTGAAAAAAAAAAACCAAAGTATCCACATCGTTGGTGGGGTGGCGAACGGAGTTGAGAATCCAACAAACGTTCGCTTTTGATACGATGCCATGAACTTAATTTTTTCTGCCTTTCTTCGTTTGACTCTTTTTTTCCCTTCATTCTTTCTCTTTATCCAAATTGAACGGAAAAACTTACTATTCAGGACTCATAGCCGACATTTTCACTAAATTCGGTTATTTATAACGCGGTTTTAAATAAGTTTTAAACAATGATACACTTAGAAAATAATTAAAAATTATAATTCACTATTTTCTGTACTATTGAAATTTGATGTCTGTGAAAAAGACACTTCACTTCTGTGTTTTTTTGATGACAAGGAACAATGGCGATCTACGACTACGATGCGCGATAAATGACGTATTTTTTTTCTGTATGTTTCTCGCTCAATTTGTGAATGTGTATTTGTGTTTCGGGCAAAATCCATGCCAGCTCACAGCGCACAAATGTAAACTGATGTGTATCGAAAGATATTGTATTTGCATTAGGTTGCGTTCACATTTTCACCACATTTCATAGCACCATTTCAATGCGTTCACACTAATTCACCATTCATTCAAAATAATACACAAGAATTTTATCGAAGTTTAAATAACAAAATAAATTTGAATGTCTTTTATTTCCCGAAATAACAATCGAAACAAACAAAAATTTCGAGGGAAAATCTCATGATCTATTCAAAGAATTTCATATTTTTCAATATCCAGCCAATGTATTTGTCGATTCTGAAAAGAAAAAAAAAAGATGAGACATAAATGATGTGGATGCATTAACAAAATAATATACAAACCGAGTATAAACACCAGCAAAGTTGGCTTGAGCACAGTGTGCCAGACCAAATGAAACAATTCCAAGTGCATACCAACGTGGTGGCTCTTCGTCGTCATTATACCAAATTATTGGTGATCCACTGTCACCTGAAAATTATTCTTAAACATAAATTATATTGTTTTTTTTTTTTTTTTTGAAAATGATATGAATGTACCTCGACATGAATCAAATCCTTCCTCACCACCAGCACAAAATTGTCCATCTTTCATTGAAACATTAAAGCGTTTGTACATTTTATCACATTTTTCATTGGAGATTCCTTTCAGTGTCACCTGCATCTTTCGATTGCTATCAGTGGCTACGGTAAATTTGCTCTATTAAAAAACGAATCAAGTATTTTCTTCAAATTTGAAATGACTTACCACTTTCTGTGTGACCCCAACCAGCTACTGTCATTTCCACCTGGTCATAGTTTTTTTGTTTTAACTCTTCATCGATTGGTAAACAAATCGGTCGAATCCAATTTGTAGTCGTTACACTATGATTCAAGAGAATAAGTGCAATATCATGCTCATTGTTGATCAATTCGTCTCGATATTCTTTATTTATAATGACTTCTTTTATTGGAATATCCAACACAGGATCAGAACAAATGCTATTTTGACAATCGATTTTAGTTTCTTTGTCCCATTCGCCAAGTCTTACTGAAATTCTACGAGAAAAAGAAATCAATTTAAATTCGTAAATTTTCCCTTACAAAATCCCAATTGCTTACAATTTCATTTTCCGCCTTATCAGCATGTTTTCGGTAACACAATGAGCGGCTAAATGGTTAATTACAAATATGAGTTATTTCAAATTCATTCTATTTTTAAATGTCAAACAACGATAAATACCTGTTAGAACATAGTCTTTGTTGATTAAGGCTCCGCTGCAAAGAAAACCAGTCCCTTCGGCTGCAGATAAAATAAAATTGAATAGTTTTTTTTATACAAATCAAGTAGACTTATCATACGTACATTTGCTATACTGTAATAATGCCAGCCATGGTGAGTCGTAGATCCTGGCCTCATTTCCGCCAAAAATAAGTCCTGAGCGACGATCAAAATTGAGATGCAATCGACCGCATTCGGTTGGTAAATCGCTCGTTTTTATTGGTGATCCGTTAAAACGAGTTGTAGTGGTGCCGGATTTTTGACAACAAACTAATGGCGTAAAACCCATGTGTCCGCAACGACTTCGTCGCAAAAGTAAACGGTCCGTAAATAGTAAATGCTTTTTATTGGTCAATTTATTTAATGTCGCACAATCTTTTAATGGTTGACAATGTCCTTTTTTATTGTTTGGCATCCAACATTCTCCAAATCCAAGGTGACCTAAAACCAACAAAATTAAAAAAAAAAATTCAAATAAAATAAAATCAATCGAATTTACCTCGTATATGCATCGGTTCACTCAAAGAATTGAACGTCAATAATAAAATCATACACATTTTAAACAAAAACATTTCATCGAAGAAGACATATCACACATTATCGTTTAAACAAAACATTAACATACAAACCATAACAAACAAGTAGTTAAAAGACGGTATTTTGTTGTAAAATGAAAGTGGTGAATAAAATCAAAACGAACCTTTTTTTTGTTGAATTTAACAGCTGTCATTGAGTGGTGAATGCAATTGCAATAATATTGGGGCGTTCATTGATGACGACGTTTATAGACATTTCTATAAATTGCTTCACAACAACATTGCCGATACATTGCAAGTCAAAGTGGTGTATGAAGATAAAAAAAATTAAAGAGATTCATTCAAAATGATATCACAGTATATGGAAGAATTGGAGCAGGTATGATCATGAATTTAAAATGGACAATGCTTTCGATGAGAAAAATTTATAATGAAATCTAATCAAAACATGTTGATGTATGGTACATAGGATCCATTTGATGTGGCCGAGTTTATTGAACGATTGACATGGCGAACAAATAACGAAGTGGGCAGCGATCAATTTGATTCGAAATTTTTGCACGACACATTTTCGCAAACGATAAAAGATTTAAAAATATTGCAAGAGCGTCAACAACGAAAATGCGAACGATTGGAAGAGATTTTACGCGATGAACAAACAATTCATGCAAAAAATATCGAAAAATTACAAGAAAGACATCAAACATCGGTCGAATGGTTCCATCAATTGGATGAGAAAATCAATTCGGTAGCTGGTAAAATAATACATTTGGGCGAACAATTGGAAAATGTAAATACGCCAAGAAGTCGAACCGTTGAAGCACAACGTCTTCTAAATCATATGCGAGAATTTCTGATGCGCGGTCCAATTGTAAATGATTTATTCAATGATAATAGTCGATTGTATGAAGCGGCCGATGTTATTCAAAAATTGTACACAATTGCACAAGATTTACCAGCCGATAAATTCAGCGAGGCAAAGAAAAAGATCGAAATGAAATATGATGAAATCGAACGGAATTTAATCGATGAATTTGCAACGGCACAAAAACAAGAGAACATTGATAAAATGAAGACGATTGCAACAATTTTATCACAGTTCAAAGGCTATTCACAATGCATCGATGCGTACATTGAACAAAGTCAAATGACAACATATGGCGAAAAGAGTTTATTTGCACAAATTTTACCAATGTGCCGACATCATTATGCGATAATAAAACGTGTATTCAGTAGTCCCGATCAAGTTATGTCAAAATTCATATTGAACATTTATCAGTTGAAATTGTTGCAATTTGCTCAAACGAAATTGGAAGATCGTCGCGATGATGATAAATATTTGCGCACTCTTTACGATTTATATTCGCAAACGCGACGAGTTAGCACTGATTTGGACGAATTTGAAATTGACATGGATGATAATTACACATCAAAACTAACAAGCAGAATATTTCATCAATACCTTGGCACATATATTGAAGTTGAGACACGAAGTCTGAATGCAAAATGTTCACTCGAACTAAAGCGATTCTATGAAAGTAAAAAAGCGTCATTCTTTTCCATTACTTATTGATTAATTTAAATTTTTTTCATTCTTTTCTTGTGATCAACCCCAGGTAAAAAGCATCAAAAGAAACAGGCCGAACGTTTTCAAGATTTGAGGCGAGACGTTCAAGCACTGATCGGTACGCGAGCCAATATAAACATTGCGCAAATCGAAGATTACGGCGGCGAAACATTCATATCCGAAGAACTAGCAATTAATTTATTACAAGAATCCAAAGCTGCTTTCAAACGATGCAGATTGGTGAGTATATTTTTCAACATTTAATCGAAAAAAGAATTGTTTTCTTTTCTTTCTTTTTTTTAAACTCACAATTTCCATTGCAGTTATCTAAAGAGGAAGATCTTCCGGCGAACATAATTCGTTTGGCCGACATTTTACTACGTTATTTAATGCACGAACATGTTGACTATGCAATCGATTTGGGATTACAAGCGATTCCAATTGCTGAAAATAAAACGGTGCCGCAAATTTATTTCTTCGATGTTGTGCAAAAAAGCAACACAATCGTGCATCTACTGGATAAACTATATGCAGCCAGTGTGATTCCATGTGTTGAGTAGGCATCTTACGATTTCAGTACATTTATGGTAAATGACAATTTTACATTTTTTTATATTCTTACGTAACAGATCAACATCAAAATATACAGAATGTTTGACCAAAAAGCGATACATGCTCGAGCAAATTGAAAGCAAACTCGATATGGGACTGGATCGTTCAATAAATGCCATTCTTGGATGGGTGAAAACCTATCTGCAAAGTGAACAACGTAAAACTGATTTCAAAATAGAACCAGAAAGTGATTGCGACACAGTCGCCTCAAAAGCGTGTAAGGATGTTGTTAAGAATATTAAGCCAATCATGAAACAAATACAAAAGTGTTTGGATGGCGAAAATTTGAAAAGTGTGTTCAACGAAATTGGCGTTCGACTTCATCGCACCATTTATGAGCATCTTCAACAATTTCAATACACCGAACCGGGTAAAAAAAACTTACTTGTTTTTTGTTTGATAAATACTGATGATTATTTTTCGACTTTGAATCAGGTGCATTGTGTGCACTATGTGATGTTAACGAGTATCGAAAATGTGTTCGAGAGAACTTCAACAGTCCAATGGTAACGCCTAGGGGCAAATCACTTAAAAATTACTTACTTATTATTATTGATTGTTTTACGATTATTTTTCGATTAGTTTCGATTATCGTCATTTACATTCATACATTAATTGTAATATATGTATTACGTATGAGATTGTCAAATGAAGGCATGGGGCGGAAATGAATGAGACGAAATTTTCTCTCTCATGGGCGCAGCCATATTGAAAATTTTGTATGCGCTTATATGTAAAATTGGTGGCGCCACTGGTATATTTGATGGAAAAAGAAGAACATGTTTGAGTCTCACTCGTTTATATGTAAATTACATAGGCATTTCCAGGCCATGAATGAAGGTGATGGAAATTGAATCTATGTGTAATAAAAAGATAGTGTGTGTGTGTGGATGAGTGAGTGAGTGATAGATGATTGGGAAACCATTAGAATGTAAGAGAAAACATACAAAAGAAACAAAAGTCGCAACAGCAAATAACAGATTGCTGACGAAAAATTGAGATTTGGTAGTAGTAGTGGAGAGAACAACACACAAGGAATCAACAGTTGCATTGCATCGGAACAACGTCACAACGACAACATGGCGACGCAAACGGATAAACGAAAACTCTGCAATTTATGTTCATTGTTTATTTTTCTGTTATTGTATGTATCTAGTAGTGACCAACAGACCCAGAAGTACTATTCTATTGTAAGCTAGTATTTTTTCTCTCTTCCACAGAATCGCGATTACAACTACCAAATCTCAATTTGTTCAAGATTCAGAATTATTTTACATTTTTATTGATTATTTGTCGATTATTTTAAATTAATTGTATTCTTTTCTTTTGTGATTCTCCGCTTAGGTAACGCAACTGTTTGATATTTTACACGCTCTCTGCAATTTGCTATTGGTGAAGCACGAAAATCTACAAGAAGTCTGTGACGGAGAAACTCTGGTATGTCTTTACAACACCAGAATGTTGAGTTGAATTGTTAAAAATGACCAATATTACATGATTTGTTTCTTTAACAGAACTATCTGGATAAATCAGTCGTTTTGAACTTTATTCAACTGAGAAGCGACTATAAAACAATTAAAATTACAAATTCGCTGAAAGGAATATCCGAGCAAAGAGTCCAAATTTAATCGAATTATGTTAGATCATTTCTGTTGATTGCGTTTTAATTAAAATTAATTCAAATATACTGTTAATCGCTAATAAAAAACCAAACATTTACACAATTGTGTGGCATTTGAGAAATCCTATTCTCTCTTTATAAATTATTCTTTTCTTTTGCTCTTTAAAAAATACTCCAAAAAGATTTTAAATTGAAATTTAAAACAGAAACTTTATTATATTGTATAAGGAAGTTCGCTATTTACAGCAGTGTACGTGTGCAATATCAATCTTAGTGATTGTTGCTCAGCAGAGCTCTGAGGAGCCAGAGCTTTAATTAAATTAAA